CTGGGAGCCTCCGGAGGTGGACTAGCGTTTTGCCCTGGTGTGTGTGGGGAACCATGAGAGCCCATCCCACTTGAAGGGATGCGCTCTGTGACGAGGGAGAGGGAGAGGGGAATTACATGTGAAACAAGCCTGTCCCCTAACTTGAATTAATAATAATAATAATAAAAATTGTGCAATGTTAAACAAACAAACAAACAAACAAAAAAGAAGCTAGCTCACACAAAGCACCTCTTTTTGGTGGACACAACCTGAACAACAACAGGAAAGCCTAGGTAGTTTCCAGCTTTCTATACTAACACAAATGAATCACTTGTGGGTGAAAAGCAGCTCACCCTCTTTATATGATAGGCTACAAACTCAACAAACTTCTATACAGATAGAGTAGGCATTTTGAGCACAAAGTTTGAAGTTTCCCATTACATTTTACATTTTTGTGTCAAAGATATGTTTGTAGTTATTTATCCCCAAACCAAAATTACCCTAACAGAATTAGAACTAGAGAAACATTTACCTTATGTTCTTTTTCAATATTCAACTACTTCCTTCATTCAGTCTTCCCATATCCCCTTAAGTTATCCTTAGTTATTCTCTATTCTTCATCCTTGTTATACTATACATAATATGTATATGTTCTAATATACATATAGTATTGACTAGGTTTTACATATGAACAAAATATGACATTGTGCCACTTTTCCTAACATTATATACATATGTATGTATATGTATACATATATATGCATATCCATGTATTTTCTGCATTTAACAAAATTTATTTTTCTTTATAGCTAAATAGTATTTTATTTGTTTGGGTGCTTGTGTAACCAAAATATATATCTTCATTTTCTGATAGTTTCCATTCTTCTGTGGGTGAATTAACACTTTAATATTTCTGGATATTTCATAACTTTGTCAACGACTTTTTCTTCTGGAAATGTCAACCTTACAACAGATAGAATGTATGCATTTAAGATTTAGACATCAGAATCAGGGTATGTTTGTTCAGACAGTGATCTTGTGAGTAGTAGACTCGAGTTGGATCCTGAGTTTTCTCGACTATGATAACTAAGGGTCTTTTTCCAATAGGGGGCACTGTGGGACTGTGGTATGACACCACTAACACTCATTCAAAAAAGCTGGCCTTAGGTACCACCCTGTGCTCATAAAGGAGACTCACCCAATGTGTTGTTCTGTCCTGGTAGAGTTCAGGGAGAAAGGGAATTTGGTCTTAGCTAGTGATTTTTCCCAGGACTCTCCCACTATTGAAAGCTTAACTCTTTCTGCCTCAAGCTCTCATGTGAGCAGAGTTCCTGCAGCAGAGTTCAAAAAGAGCCTTGGCAGCTTCAGTGGAAACATATCTGAAGGAATAAGGACTCACTTGCAGAGGCGGGAATGGAAGCCTGTGGCCCCCTAGATTTCCTGTAGAGATCAGTGGTCCAATTATTTTCATTGAACGACTTCTTTCTCCCTGCTTGGGCAGTGACAGGCCTATGAGCTGCGCTTAAGCCCAGATCACTACAACACTTTACCAAAGTTCCTCACATATCATCTCTTAGTATCTATTATTGCAAGTAATATTTTCCTGGTGGTCACCATCCTTCCCTCGGTCTCTCTGCTTACTTTGTTGATTTACCTACACCTTGAAAATGAAAATCAGTTTCCATGTCTAGAACACAATGATGCAAAAAGTCAGATATTCATTCCTCATGCATCCTTGACTACCCCTCAGAGTCATCTAAGATTGAGTCCTGTAAGAAATATTATATTCTCAAATGTCTTGTCAAATAGTGTAAAACAAACCTTGTCTTTCAGTCTTGTTACTCACTACTAAGCAGCTGAATTATCAATTCACCAATGTCCCTTTCTAAGGACCCAATTCTCTTTAAGTTTTAGAAGTATTTGCCCAGCCATATATGAACAACTTCATTTCTATGTTTAAATAACAACAAGAAAAATGTAATGTCTGTCCACACACACAGTTACTTCTTCTACCCTCTTCAGCTCCTGCATGATTCACAAGCTCTCCTAGGTTGGCTGCCTGCATGCTCGCCCTGCCTGTCCACCTTCATCAGAGAAATGTTTCATTGATGGCTCCACTAGAAAATGTTACCATGTTCCCTGTAGTTTTCCTTTAATGTGTGTGAAATACAAGGTGAAAAAAAGACAGCAGAACTGATATAATGAACAATTGTTGAAGTTGATGGTTGCTCTGGGACTTAAATTAGTTTGTTGAGTCTTTCTCTGGAGTTTCTGCAGAATAGGTGTTGATCGTGGTAACTTTCACAGACATGGGTCCTGATGACTGAGACCTCCACTTTTGGTGAGTTGTCAGCAACTCTGCTATTGTGTATCTGAATGAGTTCCTTGCAAACAGGCCTCTTTGGGTTACCACCTGCTTTATATTACACTAAACAAAATAATTCACATCACCTGACTTGCTGATTCAGAAACTCAAAATATGAATCTTCCAATGGGAGGAGTTGGTGAGATCTCATTTGCATGACTATCCCTTCTTTATCTGTGAGGTGCCTGTCAATGAGATAATGAAACAGCCCAAACAGAAGACTTTGGCCTAAGAAGAAGCTGTGCTGTGCCTACAATGGGTTGGACTCCTGGCATCTTCCTGGTTCTCTCTTACTTGACAGGTAGGGACAGGTTGAAGAGTTTACAGAAGATTCCTACAATGAGTCAGTCTGTCTGGTTAAAACACTCAAGAACGTGCACCTCAGTTTTGCTTCTCACTGTGGCATCTTCTTTTCCAGGTTCCTTTTCTCAGTCTATATTGACACAATCACCCTCCATCTCTGAGCCTCTTCAATCAACAGCCAGACTTGCCTGCACCCTGAGGAGTGACATCAGTGTTGGTACTAAACATATTTACTGGTACCAGCAGATGGAGGGGAACCCACTCCGGTTTTTTCTGCACTACTACTCTGACTCAAACAAGAATCTCGGTCCTGGAGTCCCCAATAGGGTATCTGGATCCAAAGATACCTCCAAAAGTGCTGCAAATTTGCAGATCTCTGAGCTACAGATGGAGGATGAGGCTGTGTATTACTGTTCCAACTGGGAAAATAGTGTTTATCACACTGACACAGGCAGATGGGGAAGTAGGCATAAACTGTAGCTTGTGATAAAAGTATAAGCTCTGTTTTTTAGTAACTTGTAATTTTCTTTTATTACACAAATAAATGATAATGAATAAGTTAATATAGGAAAAATTATTCCGTGTTTTTACCAATACTAGTGACAAAAGAATTAAACTACAAAAGAAAAATCTCAAACCCCCACTGTTGATGACAGCAAATGCTGGTGAACTTGAAGAATACGAGAAATCTTTATCCACTGTTGCTGGGCTTGGAAAGTGTTATCACCCCTCTGGGTATCTATATGCATATTTATACTATGATTTACAGGTAATATGATTTTCTATTTTTTAGGTAAATAGCTGATGGTACAATTCTTTGTGACATTTCTAAACATCCTTTTTTTTTTGGTTTTACCAACCTCCAGCCTTCTCCTGTATTTACATTGCTCCCCTTCTCTAAGAATCCCCATATTTCCCATTTCTCTGATCAGGTTGCTTGTATTGTGAATTTCCCTTTGCCTTCCTCCCTCTGTATTTATCTCTCTAATACTCCATAAGGAGCAGACCATTCCTTTTCTCACATCTGGGCACTTTTACCCTGCCATTACCTTTCCTAATTGCTCCCCAATTGGAAACAGTCCAATTTGATTTTTCACAGTATATACTCATATGCAAAGATTTGGAGCAAGGAACCTTCAATAAGAGAGAACATGTGATATTTATCTTCTTATGTCTGGATTATAACATGCAATAGGTTTTCTAGTTCCATCCATTTACCTTCAAAGTGCAAGATGTAATTTTTCTTTATACAGTATTCCATAGAGTACTTGTGTCACATTTTCATTATCCGTATTTCAGTACATATCCAATGTCAGTAGTACATTTCTTTGTTCTATTTCCAGTCTACTGTGAATAGAGAGGCAATGACCATGACTGAGAAAGTATCTGTGCAGTAGGATATTGAATTCTTTGGGCACACGCCATGGAGCATCATACCTGGGTCATACGGTAGATTTATTTTAGCTTACTAAGGATTTTCTACACTAACTTCCACAGTGACTGAATTCATTTGCAATCCCACCAACATTAAATGTGTATTTAATTCTTAGCACTACTCTCTTTTGTTCTCTGTATTAGATTGGACTGTTAACACTTTTTTTCTTCAAAGATGCATGCGTCAATAGGTTACCCAAAGTCTTTCACGTTTGGAAAGCAGAGTATCACTCCATCAACCAAACAGGCCAAACTAAACAAAAAGTACAAGCTAGGGGATCAGCAGCTATTAATAGTCCACTTTTTGGTACCAATGTCTGTATTTGTTATTTTTCAATTAAAATGATAAGAATCTGTGACCAAAGTAACTTACAGAAAAAAAAAAATCGGTGGCAGCTAAGATGACTAAAGAAAGCCTTGCTGTCTAGGATTGCTCCTGTTCCCTTGTCATTTCTGTACCCTGAATGTGAGTTGTATGGTCCTGAAGGTGATGGTGGGATCCTGAGGCCTGGAGTAGTAGATAGATTCCAGCTTCAAATGACTTAATATAAAATCCTGGTAGTTGGAGCTGTTGGCAAAGGCAAGCCTGCACTATTAATACAGCGCCTTTGGAATTACTTAGTGTATGAGCATGAATCTACAATAGAGGATTGGTACAGAAAAAAATGCTCGTGTGTGTGTGTGTGTGTGTGTGTGTGTGTGTGTGTGTGTTTAAGCACATGTGCTTGCTTGAGTGTCTGGGTATGTAAGGAGCCCAGAAGAGGGTATTGGGATTAGGCCAGGTCCTGAGCTGTCTGTCATGTGTGCTGGGAATCAAACTCACATCCTCTGTAGGAACACCACACATTCTTAGCTGCTGAAACCCACTTTTAACTCCAGTCCACTAATACATTCTTCCCTACAAATGACCACCATTATAATCCCTGGTCTTTGAAAGGAAAAGGAGATTGTGCCCCCCAAACCAGGCCCTGATGCTCTATTCCAAAGTAAACTAGATTGCCCACTGCCTTAATTGACATTTAATTGACATTTACAGAATTGTATTAAGGGACATTGCATGTTCTACTTACACTTCTGATAGGGCTATGTGACTTCTCAAATAGTCTCCCTGTTGGCAGGATGGGGATGTGGCAGTCACACCACAGATGACAGAACATAGTGCTTTGGGGACTGACATGGTCAAGAACGTTCCTAATGTGCCCCAGATTTTCTGATGGTGTCTCTTCACTTTCAGGTTTTTCTGTCCTACTTGGTGGAGACTACATCCTTCCCTATGTAGTCTTTTCTCGTCTCAGTGTGACCAAGTGTAAAGTAAAAGGGGGTACCTATAGCTCCCCAAGAAGAGGGGTGTATTCTTGGAGCCAGTGTGCACTGAGAATCACAGTGCCAGATGTGAAGAGATGCCTAGCTGTAGTCAGTCCATTGCACTCAGGAGGTAGAATCTGATTATCCTCACTATGCCTTGGTTCATGACATGACACCCATGCACTGCTGGATGCACTCAGGGAATAAATCTTTTGGTTTAGAATGGGCTAGCTTTCAAATAATAGTTACTCATTAGTTTCAGATTTGGGTTTTGTTCAACAGTTTGAAGTATGTGTTTGGGATGGTGGTTTGCATTTAGATGAATTTTGGGAAACTATATTCATGGAGAAATGCCAGTTTCAGGCACACCAACGCAAAACTGATAGAATGAGCTATGACCTGATTTATTTCCAGGTGCACAATTCCACTGTCTCATGTCTTGATGTAGAAAAGACTTCTGTATTTTGGGACTAACATGTTAAGACAGAATGAAATTTTACTATTTCTGTACGGTGTAATCTGAAGTATACATATTTGACATTGTGATTTTCTTTTCATTCTTTGATCTTTTTTTCTGGGACATATGCATTATGATCCAATTGTTTTCCATCTGTTGGTTGTGCTAACCCAAGGAATATTAGTAATCAAACAATAAATTTAATGTTTTTAACTTTTTCCTAAAATTTAACTTTAAAATTGTTACAGACATATGTGCTCTGAAACAATCTGAAATTCACAATATTTTTTCTTCTTGTTGTTCTTTGTCACAAAACTGTGTTTATATACTGCAATGATTAGAAGTATAAGATTCAGGACAAAAATATTGCATGACATGGGGTAGTCTTTGAGGATTCAAAAGCCAAAGCCCTTGTCCATTAGGGCTTTCTGACTTTTATTTGTGTATCAAGATGTGTTCTATGGCCATGCCTGCCTGACTGCCTGCCTGCCCCATGCCATGCTGCCAACAGAAATGTCATGAACTCTTACCTTTCTGAACGTGTAAGCTCCCAATAATTTATAGTTCTTTGGGGAGCAATGTGTCCAATGGCCTGTTTAGTGTTTCCCAGCTTTTCTGATGTTTTCCCTTTACTTTCAGGTTCTTCTGTCCTGCCATTTGGTGGAGCCTACATCATTCCCATGTGTAGTCTTTTCACTTCCCAGTCAGACCCAGGCTAAAGAATAATGAGGCACCCCAAGAAGAGGGGTATTTGCCAGACAAGGAGTCAAGGAGGATTCTGGGAAATGTATTAAAGAAGTGGTGATCCAGGCAGGAAGTTAAAGTCTCATATATAAACAAGGGCAGGAAGGAAGTCGGCCCCTTCTCTCTTCCTCCAGGGTTACCATACCATAGGAGCCCGGGAAGACAGTACGCTTGCCACTGGCATCCAATAAGATAAGTCTTATAAACATATAGATTTATGATAATTGAGACTTAGCTAAGAGATGAGAAATTGTAGTCATTGGCCAAGCAACATTTGTACCTAATATAAGTCTCTGAGTATTATTTTGGCCACCCACATGGTGGGCAGAACTCAAGTGGGTGGCAGAAAGATTTATCATAACAAGTTCCAGTAGAAGGGACAGTAGAGATATAGAGAAGAAAGGAGAAGGGAAAGTAAGGGACCAATGTTGAGGGGAGGAAAGGCTTTAAACTAAAATTCAGTGGGTGGAGGACTTATTTATGACTGTGGAATGAGTCCAATTGCAGAGAGCTGTATACAAGATTAAAGACAGGGAGTTTAAGGAAATATGCACTGTGCCTCCAGGCAGTAGTAGAAACCATTTTAGAGAGAGACTGAACTACAGAAAAAAAATAGTCTTCAGAATTCTTTTGGCTTGTTAGGGGGAATTATTTTGAATCAGCACCGTGAAGGGGTCTATGAATTGAGAAACCCGGCAGAGGTGGGGACACTTACTCAGCTATGCTCTCCACAGAAGAAGTGGAGGTTTGCTCTAGGCATATAGAGGAATGAAGAGGCACAGCTGCAGAGTCCTGCTACAAGCCCAGAGAATGGATGTGGCTGCTGCCTGCCCAGGTAGGATGTACTCACTCTTTCTAATTCTGGGATATAGCAGGCCAGAGGGAATTACTAAATCCCCTTTGTCCACTCCACACCCTCTGGTTGTTAGGAAAGCTACATATAAAAGAATATATATAGAAGAAGCTAGCTCACACAAAGCACCTCTTTTTGGTGGACACAACCTGAATAACAACAGGAAAGCCTAAGTTGTTTCCAGCTTTCTGTACTAGCTAATACAAATGAATCACTTGTGGGTGAAAAGCAGCTCACCCTCTTTATATGATAGGCTACAAACTCAACAAGTTTCTATACAGATAGAGTAGGCATTTTGAACACAAAGTTTGAAGTTTCCCATTACATTTTATGTTTTTGTGTCAAAGATATGTTTGTAGTTATTTATCCCCAAACCAAAATTTCCCTAGGAGAATTAGAACTAGAAAAACATTTATCTTATGTTGTTTTTCTTTTCTTTTTTTTAAATACAAAATACAAGCAAAGGATACACATACTTAAAACAAAGTTCAGAAGACAGCAGTCCTGGAAATCTCCAATCAGAGCAAAGCAGGAGTTTATGTAGATACATACAACTGGGATATGTAAAAATGAAGTATCACATTAGACCATCACAAGATTCTACCAATGCATGTTGCATCTGTAATTCACAAACATGGTCAACAAAATCATGTTCACTTCAACTTGGTTTCATTTAAAAAAAACCTTTAAATAAAGTGGTTACATTCAAACTTTTAACTTCCTTAGTACCATGCTGTGTATTTCACTTATGTTGTTTTTCAATATTCAACCACTACCTGCATTCAGTTCTCCCATATCCCCTTAAGTTATCCTTAGTTATTCTCTATTCTTCATGTTATACTATACATAATATATGTATGTTCTAATATACATACATCATTGGCTAGATTCTACACATGAACAAAACATGACATTGTGCTACTTTTCCTAACTTGAATATATCTATCTATCTATCTATCTATCTATATATATATATATATATATTTCTACATATTACAAAATTTATTTTTCTTTATAGGTAAATAGTATTTTATGTGTTTGGGTGCTTGTGTAACCAAAACATATATCTTCATTTTCTGATAGCTTCCATTCTCCTGTGGGTGAATTAACAGTTTAGTATTTCTGGATATTTCATAACTGTGTCAAAGAGTCTTTCTTCTAGAACTGTCAATCTTACAGCAGATAGAATGTATGCATTTAGATTTAGACATCAGAACCAGGGTATGTGTGTTCAGACAGTAATCTTGTGAATAGTAGACTCCAGTTGGATTCTGAGTTTTCTGGAGTATGGTAACTAAGGGTCTTTGGCCAATAGGGGGTGCTATGGGACTGTGGTATGACAACAATAACACTCAAAGGAGATGGCCTTAGGTCTCTCCCTGTGTTCACCAAGGAGACTCACCCAACGTGTTGTTCTGTCCTGGTAGAGTTCAGGGAGAAAGGGAATTTGGTCTTAGCTAGTGATTTCTCCCAGGACTCTCCCACTATTGAAAACCTAAGTATTTCTGTCTCAGGCTGTCATGTGAGCAGAGTTCCTGCAGCAGAGTACAAAAAGAGTCTTGGCAGCTTCAGTTGAAACATGCCTGAAGGAATAAGGATTCATTTGCAGAGGCAGGAATGGAAGCCTGTGGCCCCCTAGATTTCCTGTAGAGATCAGTGGTCCAATTATTTTCATTGAACAACTTCTTTCTCCCTGCATGGCAGTGACAGGCCTATGAGCTGCGCTTAAGCCCAGATCACTACAACACTTTACCACAGTTCCTCACATATCATCTATTAGTATCTATTATTGCAAGTAATGTTTCCCTGGCCACCATCCTGCCCTCTATCTCTCTGCTTACTTTGTTGATTTACCTACACCTTGAACATGAAAATCAGTTCCAGTGTCTGTAGAACACAATGATGCAAAAAGTCAGATATCCATTCCTCATGCATCCTTGACTACCCCTCTGTGTCATCGAAGACTTAGTTCTGTAAGAAATACTAAATTCTCACATGTCTTGTCAAATACTGTAAAACAAACCTTGTGTTTCAGTCTTCTCAATCACTAATGAACAGTTGAATCATGAATCCATCAATGGCCCTTTTTTTCCTTTTTGGTTATTTGAGACAGGGTTTCTCTGTGTAGCTTTGGAACCTATCCTTGTACTCGCTCTGTAGAGAAGGCCAGCCTTGAACTCACAGAGATCATCCTGCCTCTGCCTCCGCAGTGCTGGATTAAAGGCATGTGCCACAAACTTCCGGCCCAATATCCCTTTCTAAAACCCAATTCTCTTTAAGTTTTAGAAGTGTTTGCCCAGTCAGATATGAGCAACTTCATTTCTATGTTTAAATAACAATAAGAAAAATGTAATGTCTTTCCACCCAGTTACTACTTCTCCCCTCTTCAGCTCCTGGATGATTCACAAGCTCTCCTAGGTTGCTCCTAGGCTGCCTGCATGCTCGCCCTGCCTGTCCACCCTCATCAGAGTAAATGGTTCATTGATGGCTCCACTAGAAAACATCACCATGTTCCCTGTAGTTTTTCTTTTATGTGTCTGAAATTCAAGATTAAGAAAAGACAGCAAAACTGATATAATGAATAATTGTGTACATTGATGGTTGCTCTGGGACTTAAATTAGTGTGTTGAAAGGAGTGTGTTGAGTCTCTGGAATTTCTGAAGAACAGGTGCCACATGTAGTAACCTAACAAACATGGGTCCTGATGACTGAGTCCATTTTTTGTGAGGAACCAACAACTGTGCTACTGTGAATCTGAAAATTTTCCTTGTAAATAGGGCTGTTTGTATTACCATCTGCTTTATATTACACCAAACAAAATAACTCACATCACCAGGCTTGCTTGTTCAGGAACTCAAAATATGAATCAGCCAATGGGAGGAGTTAATGAGATCTCATTTGCATGACTATCCCCTCTTTTTCTGTGAGATCCCTGTCAATGAGATAATACAACAACCCAAACAGAAGACTCTGATCTAAGCAGAAGCTGTGTCATGCCTACAATGGCTTGGACTACTCTCATTTTCACGGTTCTATCTTACCTGACAGGTAGGGACAGGCTGAAGAGTACTGCAGAGGACTCCTACACTGAGTCATTTACTTCTTGTTCATTTACACAAGAATTTGCACCTCAGGTCTGATTTTCACTGTGGTGTCTTCTTTTCCAGGTTCCTTTTCTCAGTCTATATTGACACAACCACCCACCATCTCTGAGTCTCTTGGATCAACAGCCAGACTCACCTGCACCCTGAGGAGTGGCATCAGCGTTCGTGGTACAAGTATTTACTGGTACCAGCAGATGGAGGGGAGTGCTCCTCGTTTGTTCCTGTACTACTACTCAGACTCAAACAAGCAGCTGGGGCCTGGAGTCCCCAGTAGAGTCTCTGGATCCAAAGATAACTCCAAAAATGCAGCAAATTTGCAGATCTCTGAGCTACAGGCGGAGGATGAGGCTGTGTATTACTGTTCCATCTTGGAAAGTAGTGCTTATCACAGTGACACAGGCAGATGGGGAAGTAGGCATAAACTGTAGTTTGTGATAAAAGTATCAGCTCTGCTTTTTTAGTAACTTGTAATATTCATTTATTACACAAATAAAAGATAATGAAGAAGTTAATATAGGAAACTCATACCGTGTTTTCACCAATAATAGAGACGAAAGGAGTAAATTACAAAAGAAAATTCTCAAACCCCCATTATTGATGCCAGCAAATGCTGGTGAACTTGAAGAAGAGAAAACTTCATCTACTGTTTCTGGGCTTGGAAAGTGTTACAGCCCATCTGGGTATCAGTGTGGAAATTTATCAAAAACTTAAATTAGGTATATGATATGAATGTACTATAGCACTCATTTGTATATTTTGAAAAAAATTGTTATCCCACTAAAGTTGTACTTTTTAATAATTTTCTTTACCCTTGTAATCACAAAGCAAAGAATGGAATCAGCCTAGATATCCTTCAACTGGTTAAAGGATGAAGAAAATGCAGTGTAACTATACAATTTTATTCAGCTGTAAATAAAATTGCAAATGCAAGCAAATTGATGCAACTGGAAAATATTTAGTGAAGTCACTCAGGTCCAGAAAGACAAAAGTCTTGCTTTTTCTTATTTTTAAATCCCAG